GAATTCTATCAAACATCTAAAGAATTGACACCAATTCTTCTTAAATTCTTCCAAAAAAAAAAGAGGAGCTAGTACTTCCTAATTCATTCTATAAAACCAGCATTACCTTGCTTCCAAACCAAAGACTCTCTATCCCTCTCCCTTCCTCTCTGTAAAAAAAATCAATAAAATATATATTTTTAAAAAGCAACAGATTGAGAGACAGAGAACCATCGATCAGACCATCAAACCTCAGAGGGAAGGTAGGGGAGGGTGTGAGAGTAAGAGGGGAGAGATCAACCAAAGGACTTGTATGCATGCATATAAGCCTAACCAATGGACACAGACACCAGGGGGGTGAGGGCATGGGGGGGGGGGGTGGAGGGGCAATGGGGGGATAAGGACACATATGTAATACCTTAATCAGTAAAGAAAAAATAAATAAAAATAAAAAATAAAGAGGAAAATGGCATCATCTCACTAGATAAGAAAATGCATTTGACAAAATTTAACACCCTTTCATGGTAAAAACTCGGCAAACTAGAAAGAGAATGAATTTGCTCAACCTGTTAAAAGGCATTAATGAGTCCTGGCCGGTGTTGCTCAGTTGGTTGGAGCATGGTCCTATGCACACTCTGTACACCAGAAGTCACAGGTTCCATTCCCCCCTGGTCAGGGCACATACCCAAGTTGTGGGTTCAATCCCTGGTCTGGGTGTGTACGTGAAGTAACCAACCAATTGACATTTCTCACATCAGTGTTTCTCCCATTTCCTTCCTCTCTCTCTAAAATCAATTTTTTTTTAAAAAGGCATTCATGAAAAACCGACACCCAGCAATATACTAAATGGTAAAAGATTGAAAGCTCCTCTACAATCAGAAAAATGCTCACTTTCACCACTGTTGGTCAACATTGTACCAGAAGTTCTAGCCAGAGCAATTAGGGAAGATAAATCAAGGAAACCCCAATTAGAAAGAAAGAAGCAAAACTATCTCTATTGGCAGTTATGATCCTATAGATTAAAAATCATCAAGAATCCACACACGCACAAAAGACTGAGAACTAATACAGTAATGCTTTGCAAGATACAAAATCAACACACAAATGTCAATTGATTTTTATACACTGGCAAAAAAATAATTCTGAGAAGAAAATAATTTTATTTACAATAGCATCAAAAAGAACAAAATACTTGGGAATAAATTCAACCAAGGAGGTACAAGGCTTATACACTGAAAAGTATAAAACATTGCTGAAAGAAGTTAAAGAAGACCTAAATAAATGAATGGAACGACATCTCATGTTTGTGATGTTAAGATGGCAATACTCCCCAAATTAATCTACAGCAGTGCAATCCCTATCAAAAAACCTAATGGCCATTTTTTTTAAAGAAATTGGAAAAGCTGATCCTAAAATTCATATGGAATTTAAGGGACTCAAAAGAGCCAAAACAATTTTGAAAAAGAACAAAATTGGAAGAGTCACATTTCCTGATTTCAAAATTTGTTACAAAGCTACGGTAATCAAAACAGTATGGTGCTGACATAAGGATAAGCACGTAGGCCAATAGCATAAAATAGAAACTCCAGAAATACACTACAGTCTATTGATTCTAACAAGGGTACCAAGACAATTCAATGGACAAAGAACAGTCTCTTCAACAAGTGGTGCCGAACAACTAGGAGGAAGAGGCAAAGCGGAATGACTACTGAGTAAGGAGTTCCCTTTTGGGGTGATGAAAATATTCTGGAACTAACTAGTGGTGATGGTTATACAACATGGAGAATATACTAAACGTCACTTATGGTAAATTTTATGGATATTTTACAATTGTATTAGGTACATTACAAATTGTTATTTAAATGTCATAACAGTAAGCATTATATATATATAATGCTATGTAGTAAGTATATGATTAAAACTGCATTTATAGCCTTCCCAAAGACAATTTTTAAAAATGGGATTTGCAATTAAATAAATTTAAAAGCCTGACAGAAGGTCTCTTTAGATCTTAAATCTAGTCTAAAAAGAGAGTGATAAACACAATGGAAACCATAAGGGGCAAGTTTGATTTGGAGCTCTTCCCTAAGGCCTGGTACACAACACTCCATAAATGTTTGCTGAAAGTCAAGATAGATATTTTTTTATAAACTCTAAACTATTTGGAATTGTTGCCAATATTTCAACTCTTACTCAGGAACAACAAATATTCAGTAAAATGATAGGTAATTTTACTGTGACTAGATTATTAACTCGTATGAAATATTTTTATTCTTTTTCATTTTTTAATTAGAGTAAAAAAATTAAATGCCATGAAAAGTCTAAGTCTGCTTTTGGCATTTCATCCTTCTGGATCTCAAATACCTTTATCTTTATAAGAGTGCACCAACTCCCCCATCAGAGACCCTTATTTGTAAGGCCTAAGAAAGTATATCTATTTTTTATCTACTGGGCCTGAACAACACTGACATTTTGTGAATCTCTTAAAGAAATGCAGTATTGCTTGATACGGATATTAGTATCGTGATTAGCTTTGACTGACACCCTATGTTACCCAGCCCTGAATAGTTATTTCCTTTGAGCTAATAAGGTGCATCTAGAAAGTGAAGTCAGGGAAGCTTAGGAACCATGTTCAGGGCCCTCGGTCTATACCCAGACTGAAGTTGGGTCCATTTAATGACAATTCTTTGTGGGTAACAAACAATTATATTTAATTGAAGTATTTTAAGATAGCTTTATATTAGAGAGTGAATATTATTTATGTGATGTTTATGCCTTAAAAGAACTGTAAGTTGGGAAGGCACACAATGGCTCAATGACTATTGGGTTATGCTGTAAGTGATGGCGTGACAACACTGAGGTTAGAGAAGCTGTCATTTAAAGAGCTGTCTCTGTTAGTGACAAGAATAGCTGTGCTGTGTGAGAGCTTCAGAGAAAGAAAATGCTGCGTAGTAAGTGTGGCAAAAGCTGACCTACTTATCTGTCTGATTCTGTATCAGAGACTCGGGAGCAAAACTGCAGACAAGGACTGGGGAAGTGAGTTAATCCAATTGAGAATTAATTTGCCTCAAACTTTCTGATCAATAAGGCACCGAGCAAAACAGTGGGGAGACTAAAATCTTACATGCTAATAGACTATAAAACAAAGATGGGCAAAGAATGTTAGTTCCTTAAGGGCACATACTTGGATATATTTTTGTATCCCCTGAAGCAATTAACATTTTATTCACTGTTGCATCTGTAATAGGCTCTGGCTAAACCAGCTAGGACTATTATTCCCACTTTAGATCTGGGTGCACAAATTCAGAGGAAATTGGCTAAAGGTCAAAGAACTAGTGAATGCCATGAACTGGGTTTAAACTGGGAGTTTAATTCACTATTACAAGATGCAGTACTTAAAAGAGTAATATTTCACAATAAATATATAAACACATGAAGCAATGCACAAAAGTAAAATCATTTGAAAAATCCAAATGTGGTGCTCAATACTCATATTTAAATGTTAATATGCAATGACCATTACCTGCCAGCTTTGTTTAATTATTAGGTTATTGAAAAAAAGTTATGTTCCCACATCTGAAAAGTCTCAGCCAATTTCTTGAATACACATTAAATTGACCCTATTATGTAATTTTCATCACAGTAGAGGTAAAAATGAATGTTAAAAAATAAAAAGATAACAGCGCAATTTTATAATACAATAAAAGAAACAATGCGTATAACCTATCAATAGGTTCTAGCATTCCTAAAAGGATGTCCACACTAGCCAAGAAAAGGAAATAAGACCATCCAGATTGGAGAGGAATAAGTGAAACCAGTAAAATTGACCATAGAAAATTCTAAGAAATCCACTAAAAAAAAAAAAAAATCAATGAGTTGAGCAAGTTTTCAGGGTACAAGATCAATATACAAAAATCAATTCCATTTTTCTACACTAGAAATAAACAATCTAAAAGTGAAGTTTTTAAAAATTCTATGTATAATAGCATCAAAATTAAAACAAAATACATAAGAATTTAACAAAATTTTTGACACTGAAAATTACAAAATTGTTTAAAGAAATTAAAAAAGAAAATCAATGTGAAGATAGATCGCATTCATGGATCAGGGAACTTTCCCCCCCAAGGCTTAGGGGAAGGCATTCAGTCTTCCACCATGAAGTACGATGTTAGCGATATTTTTTTTTTGCAGATGATCTTCCTCACTTTAAAGAGGTTACTTTCCACTCCTAGTTTAGTTTTATCATGAATGTGTGTTGACTTTTTAAGGGTACGGAATTTTGTCAAGTGATAATGTATTTTTTTAAAAACATTTTCATTTCTTTCAGAGAGGAAGGGAGAGGGAGAGAAACGTCAATCATGAGAACCATCTCCGCTGCCTCCTGCACGCCTCCTACTGGGGGTGGAGCCGCAACCCAACACGTGCCCCGACCAGAATGAACTGTGACCTCCTGGTTCATAGGTCACCTAAGAGTCGGGCAATGTGATCGTGTATTTTTTAAATCCGGTTTTCTATGCCACTGAAACTGTTTAAGAGCTCGTTCTGCCCGCCCACTTTAGCTGGCTCATTTAGTTGGCCCATTAAGGCCTTGGAATAAACTACCTCTCCCATCTTATCCTTTCTAGCCCAGAAACATGGGGGGGGAGGGGGGGGGTGACACCTAGGCTCGCTCACCCAAGCCCTCTTTACTTGGACTGTGTAAGGGTGTCTGCCCCCGGAGCCAATCCCCACCTCCTCCACCCAGCATTCCGCGCCGTTCGCGGTGCCGCAGGCTTCACGTGAGTCGGCGGCCGAAGTCCACTCAGGGTTCACAGAGCCCGCCTCCCCCGGGCGAGTCTCCAGATCCCACCCAATCAGCGCCCAACCCGGAAACCGCGGCGCTGAAAGGTCTCGCGACGCTCAACTCCTCCGGGCCCTGCAACCCTGGCGTCACGTGATCCCATCCACGTCTCCCGCTCTCCTCCGCGGAGCACCGCCCTTCAGCTGGTGCTCGCTGATTGGCCACTGCTCGCCTGGTCTCCAGGGTGACGGGAACGCGGTAGCCTTCCTGGAGGAGACTAGGTGCGCCTGCGCAATCGCGTGGCCGCTCCAGTCTGGAGATGAAGGTAAGTAACTTACAAACCCTGGGGGCGGGAAGAGCGGACCTTCCCTCAGCCCGAGGAGCGTGGCTTTGAGAATAGGGACACCCCCTCTTCCGAGTGCGTGGGGTGGGGAAGGGGAAGGGCAGGGAGGGAGAGATGAGGGCGCAGTTGAAGGAGCGAGGGGAAAGGGAAGAAAATAAAGGAGAAAGCAGAGAGGGAGGCCTCTCATCTCTGGGGTCGCTACCGGAGTTGACGCGGTGCGGGAAGGGGAGTCCCGGTCCGGCCGGAAATGAGCAGCTGGATCAGAAGAGCCCAAACTTCGCTGCGCGGAAGGAACGAGTCGTGGGACTGTGTTTGCAGGGTCGTGATGAAAGGGACTCGCTCGCGTGTCACGAGCTGCCTCATCTCTTGGAGCGAAACCTCTGCCAAGCTGTGCAACTGACCAGCTCCTTGCACACAGTGAAGAGCCCCCGAAGGAGTAATCTCTAAGCGTATTGCCTGTGATTTGGTCCTATTGATACATCACCTGGTGGCGAGAATACAGAATTCACGGAGAAATCTGCACACGCAGGTGTAGAGGCTCAAGAGCGTCATTCTCTGCACGCACGGTGTCCAGGCTTGGCCTTCTCGTGACCCCACTCCTGGGTCCCTGGCCGCAGCTCCTGCACCTTTCCGCTTTCCCGCAGTACCCGCCCCACCCCGCCCGATCCGGCAAAGAGATGGAAAGCTCACTTAAAAAGTTATTTTATACGTCCGTATGCTTCCTCGTGACTATTAGTGTGCAAATTGGAATTAGACCGGTCATCATAACTCACATTTCTAAAGCTCTTCACAATTATGAAGAATCTGAAGGGAGGAGATATTATTCCTGGTTTAAAGTTGAGAATTCTGTGTTTGAGGCAATTTACGCGACTTTAAGCCCTACAGCTAATGTAAAAAGCAACATTTAAGTTTCGGTTTTCCGGTTGTGAAGTGAGCAACATTTCCACTGCACTGTATGGGGAGCATCTGTGAAAAAAAGTATGTATGACCCCATGGAAGTCTACCAATGACGCTAATGAAATTCAAGTTCACTAGCAGGAAGGGGTTCCAGGGAAATGTAGTCACAAAATTGCAAAAGTAAGATGCTTTTATTTATTTTTTTTTCTTTAAAGATGTCTTCATGCTCCACAAAATTGGATATACCTGTGATTTTTCCCACCTCTGTTTTCAGTTGAGATGGATTTCATCTCTTTAACATACAAAATACCTATTGATAACTGGGTAATTTTGAGCATTGGAAGCATCATCACTGTGAATATTAAGCCACCTATAGTAGTATGTAAACTGCATATGCCTACACATAGGCATCATTGTTTAATCTGTAATTTAACCTAATATTAAAATCTAAATGTTTTCATTCATGTTCTCTGTTCCTAGATGTTCTGATGGGCACTGTTTGATATAAATGTGTGAGTCAATATAATTTAAAATTTTTAATAGCTACATTAAAATATTTTTAAAACAGATAAAATTAATTTTAATGATATGTTTTATCCAGTAGATCCAAAATATTATTTCAACATGTAATCAATACAAATATTATCAAAGAAATTGTTTGTATTCTTTTTCATAATCTTTAAAATCCAATATGCATTTTATATTTACAGCACATTAAATTTGGGTGTACCCACATTTCAACTCCTCAATAAAATTTCAAGTCCATGTGTGGTTTGTGGCTTCCATAACCACAGTTCTAGATTGTCTAAGTGAAAAAAAAAGAATGATTTTTCAACTTATACATTGTTCATCCAATGGCCAAACTAAACACAATGATGAAGTAAATATAACTGATGGGTAAAGGAAGAAAATAATTTTGAACGAAGTATATCATTCTTTTAATCTTAAACATCTATAAAACATGAAACATACATTTTTATAAAGTTAATATTCAAAAACTTTCCAAAGCAAAGAAGTTTTACAATAAACTCTCCCCTATCTGTTTTTTAAATATTTTTTTATTGATTTTGAGAGAGAGGAAAGGAGAGGGATAGACAGATAGAAACAGTAGTGAGAAACATTATCGATTGGCTGCCTCCTGCACGCCCCCTACTGGGGATTGAACCCACAGCCCTGGGCATGAGCCCTGTCGAGGAATCAAACCCATGACCTCTTAGTTCCTGGGTGGCCATTCAACCTCTGAGCCACACCTGCTGGGCTCCCCTATATATTGAGGTCCATACTTAACCAGATTGTGAGTTTTTTTGTTTTGTTGATTAATCGTTTTGTTTGTTCTACTGTTGACTTCCTTTGGATAAGCTCTAACATAAGCCTTCACCATCCTGAATCCTACTGTTTTCATGATCATATTTTGACATGTCTTCTGACTAACCCTTAATCATATGTTTTGTGTGTGTTTTTTCTAGCGTGTTTTCTCGTTGCTAGAAAAGAATTGGCTTGGTGCACCGATACAGTTTACCTGGCAAAAAACATCAGGAAACTACCTTGCAGTAACAGGGTAAGAAATCAGTGAATTTATAAAATCATCCTGACTCCAAACGGTTGTATGCCCACATAACCACCCATCTATTCAGTAGAAGTTATTGTGAGATGTTTATATGGTGGGAAAAGTAATATCTTCATCTCCATTAACATCAGAGTTCATGGAACCTTTTCCCCAGTAATAACTTTTTAGATTCAAATTATGAAATTATGATGAGAGAACATTGAAAGCACTTTATGGCACCTAAACTTTTATATGCATAGAGAGATAAAGAAAAGAAACATTCAAGTCATATTTTTGTGTTCTAATTGCTTTTAGAGCTGACCATATTGTAAGAATCTTTGATCGCCATGGTCAAAAAAGAAGTGAAATTAACTTACCTGGGTAAGTACAGAGTTGGATCAAAAACTTTTTCAAGCTTTGTTGCCTAAAAGATAAAAAGGTATTGTCTTAAAGCCACAATCAAATAGAATTTTATAATATATATAACCTCTATCTCCTCTTTTGCGTTCTCCATTTGCAAAGTATTTTTTTTAATATCGTAAGTAGTTAATGAAATATGTAGATAAATAGCATATGAGTTAGAGTTTAGAAACACCCATATATTCATAGAGAAGCTTAAAGGCAGGATTAGAAATGATTTCATATGAAAGAATTCTTATGTAATTATAAACATGCCTTAGATGTGCCTGTATCACTATAGTATCTCCTGCCTAATAAATTGTTGAAAAATAGTTACTTTCACATGCTTTTTAAAGGACAAAGACTTTCTTATATCTATACTGCCAGCAGTCGGACATCCTTAGTGCTGCCACGGAGGCAGGAGTGGCTCCCGCCACTGCCACTGCGCTTGCCAGCCTTGAGCCCGGCTTCTGGTTGAGCGGCACTCCCCCTGTGGGAGTGCACTGACCACCAGGGGGCAGCTCCTGCATTGAGCTTCTGCCCCCTGGTGGTCAATGCACGTCATAGCGATCGGTCCTTCCACTGTTTGGTCGATTTGCATATTAGCCTTTTATTCTACTAGAGGCCCAGTGCACGAAATCCATGCAGAGGTGGGGGGGGGCGGGGCGTCCCTCAGCCCAGCCTGCACCTTCTCACAATCCAGGACTGCTGGCTCCTAACTGCTCACCTGCCTGCCTGATCACCCCTAACCACTCTTCCTGCCTGCCTGATCGCCCCTAACCACTCTGCTGCCTGCCTGATCACCCCTAACTGCCTCTGTCTCAGCCCCCACCACCGTGGCTTCATCTGGAATGACGTCGGAAGGTCGTTTGGCTGTCTGGCCTAATTAGCATATTACACTTTTATTATAGATTCAGGAAATAATTCTAGATCACACTAATCACGACTGGAGCATTTTTAATGATTCAGTGTAATCATTACCTGTGTTATTGTTACTGATAGTCTCGGTGGTTATTAAGTGTGTAGTCGCTCTCACCTAAATGTTCTTATGCTGCCGTGCTTTTACAGTTCACGGCTGCTTTCTGTAGTTGATTGCCACCACCTTTGCAAATCTCGTAACAGCCTTTTCCAATTCCTGCTCTGCCACCGCCCACCTGAGGCCACCATTTTGGCATTTCCCGTTGCTCTCCATTGTGGCCTCTGGTTTCTATATTCTGGGAAAGAGGTCAAGGTAGTTATCATTATGTCTAAAATACAATAAGGAGGCACTTAGTAAAAAACTTTTGAGTAAATTGTATGATCTTTATTACATAAACTCTGCAACATCTATATTGGTTACACAATGACCTTATTTTTTTACCTCTGAATATTTTTTTGCTATATTAATTATAATTGAGTTTGACTGACAAAGGATCTCCAGATAAATAAAATGCCTTTATATTTGTCTTTAATTGATAGATGATTTTAACAGCAATTTGGAAGCTTTCCTCTTTTCATATTCCAAAATCTCTAAAACTACTACAGAACATTTAGGTCCCAGAACATTTTAACAGTTTGAAGAATAACTGATGTCATCCCCAGCTATCTTAAATGTAAATCTGTGCAAGAACAAAGAATATCAAAATGAAAAATTCGGCATCAAGAAAGTAAGGTCCATCCCCAAGGAAGTGTTTAAATTATAATAAACATTGGGAATAATTTTGAATAGTAAGAAACCTGTTAAACAGAGCATTTCCTATTTAGAGCTATTTTGTCATTTCAATTGAATCACTCTTCTCATTCCATTAAGATATAAAATGAAAATAAATTTCTTAACCATCACTTCAGAATTCAGTCTTTCCACTGTTTGCAATACTACATCTACCTGGCCTTCAACTATTTTACATGCAGTTTATCTAAATATGACTTCATTACATATGAAGTACCTTCTTTTTCTCTCTGTAAGTCTAAAGTAACCTTTTAGATGACCACTTGATTCCAGTTGGGATTCATTTGTAGGGTGTGTTTTACCAAAGGGCCAGATTCTTTAGAGGGTTCAAGGAAATCTGTTAACTTATTAGGTATAATTATATTTAATATGGCATATGAAAATGGTATTTAAAACAGAATTAAAATTTTTCCATCCTATCAACAACAAAAAATTTAAGTTAGTCTTATCCAAGCAGTGAATAGTGAGTTGTATTTCTCACTAGAAATTTTATGACCTATTTAAAATAGCTTGAATGGTCTTGTTGTAGACAAAAATCACAAATAGGTGAGTATTTAAATGTCTTTCCTCTACTTTAAAAATATGGACAGTGATGTTTTGCTCTCTTTTTTCAAAGTAATTGTGTTGCTATGGATTGGGATAAAGACGGAGATATCCTAGCAGTGATTGCTGAGAAATCTAATTGCATTTATCTATGGGATGCCAACACAAATAAAACCAGCCAGTTAGACAGTGGCATGAGGTAAGGACAAATCTTTGGTTTTTTTAAAACTTCACTTAAAAATATGATTACTTGTAGGTTTGATGCTAACATTACTTATTGCTTTCATTAGAGATGTATCAAGGAGTTACCTATATTATAAAAAGCCAGTTACCGTAACGCCATAACAACCAAATGACTGGTCACCAGGAGGTGCAATGATGGGTCCCGCAGAGTGGCGGGTCTGGGGTCTCGTGCGATTTCGCGTGTTGGGCCTCTAGTTTTTTATAAAAGAAAAAAGTTCATTTCTTTTTTTTGTTATATGTAGTCCTATTGATTTTGCCCATTAACTAGAATATAATAGTTACGTTGTGAAATATAAATAGCTTCTTAAGTTTTTTCTAATGAAACAGTCTAAAAAGTTGAAAGATGAGACTAAAGTGATTTGGGGAAATGGGATTGGCTGCAGGCATGGCTGGACCTTGGGGTTCTGATGATGCAATCAAGACTCTTTCTTTCTTTTTTTAACCCTCACCCAAGGATATGTCTTTATTGGTTTCGGGAGAAAGAGAGAGAGAAAGAGAGAAACATCGATGTAAGAGAGAAACATCGACCAGTTGCCTCCCGTACCAGGAATGGAACCCGTAATCTTTATGGTTGGTACATGGGATGATGCTCCAACTGAGCTACCCAGCCAGAGCTCAAGACTATCTCTTGGCTCTTCCTTGCTCTATATTTTGTTCATTCTAAGTCAGACACTGTCCATAGCAACTGGCAGCTATTGGCTTATATCATTCTTTGCAACAAGTTACACCAGAGAAAAGAGCATGTTCCCATCAATTCACCCGTGTCCACTCAGTTTCTCAAAAGGTCTCTGAGTGGAGTAGGCAGGGCCATCGGATTGATACTTCCACTAAATGAAGAATAGGGTGAGGGTGTGGTCAGTTCTCAAGTGGAAAAAATTCTATGCAGACAGAATAAATTACAAGATCTCTGCTAAAATAGAAACCATTTTCTCATTGGAAAAGAAAAATTTGTCAATATTTACAACTTAAACTTTTGACCTTGGATAAGTTTCTTAGCCGCTCTGTAAGCCTCAATTTCTTCATCTATGTGTAATGGGTATAAAAGTCATATATGCCTTGTGGCATCATATGGCCCACAGGTGGGCAGGAAGAGATCGCCCGTATACCATAATATGAATCTACACATTCCCAGTTTATTTTCCAAGGAATAACAACCCAAAGAAAGCAAGGTGGCCATGCAGAACAGGACCAAACACAACCTTAGCAGTTCCCCTTGACGCCCCCCAAGGTGATCCACAAGGCATGCATCCTCAGGTGGTACCGCCTGCCCATGTAAAGCCTCGCTGGGTCTAAGAACCCTCATTCCTTACTCTGTCCTTTTACATTTGGGTGTACATCTATTTTTGAAAGTATTACAAATACCCTCCCTTCCCTCCCCCCTTTCCACCCCCCCCTCCCCCACTGACCTCTTCTAACCTGAACACATTTTAAAAGGACTACTTAGGGGTTATGTCTGTGAATTGTTTAGTAATTTATATGTTAATGTTACAGGGATCAAATGTCTTTCCTTCTTTGGTCAAAAATTGGAAGTTTCCTGGCTGTTGGAACTGTTAAAGGAAATTTGCTTATTTATAATCGTCAGACATCTCGAAAGATTCCTATCGTTGGTAGGTTACATTTGGAAACATGGTTAAATATTAGAGATGCTTTACATAAGTGTAAATTTTACTGCCTCTGATTTTCCTGATATTGCAAGGGATATTTTGTAGTATGAAGACTCCCCTGTCAAACTTCACATAGAGCTAAACTAGAAGATCCTTCTTCACTGACCATTAAACGTGTCCCAGGCCACATAGAACAGGTGGCTCTGAGGCAGCGGTTCTCAACCTGTAGGTCGTGACCCCTGTGGGGGTCGAACGACCCTTTCACAGGGGTCGCCTAAGACCATCGGGAAACACATATATAATTACATATTGTTTTTGTGATTCATCACTATGCTTTAATTATGTTCAATTTGTAACAATGGAAATACATCCTGCATATCAGATATTTACATTACGATTCATCACAGTAGCAAAATGACAGCTATGAAGTAGCAACGAAAATAATTTTATGGTTGGGGCTCACCACAACATGAGGAACTGTGTTAAAGGGTCTCGGCTTTAGGAAGGTTGAGAACCACTGCTCTAAGGTCAAGGACAGCCTGTGTCGTTGGGCACCAGTACATTAATGACATGGCTTCCATCTGCCCCTTTCTCTCCCACTTTGTACCTCTGGACGTGGGTATGAACACATTAGTAGATTGGACTAAACCTTTGTGACTGCTTGGACCGGGATAATCCAGATTCCTAATTCTGACCCCTCGTTCTCTGCAAACACCTGTTTAACCCAGGTGTGACTATGAGTTATATTTGCCTCAGGGTGTATGGCAGTGATGGCGAACCTATGACACGCGTGTCAGAGTTGACAATCAAACTCATTTTTTTGGTTGATTTTTCTTTGTTAAATGGCCTTTAAATATATAAAATAAATATAAAAAATATGTCTTTGTTTTACTATGGTTGCAAATATCAAAAAATTTCTATATGTGACATGGCACCAGAGTTAAGTTAGGGTTTTTCAAAATGCTGACACGCCGAGCTCAAAAGGTTCGCCATCACAGGTGTATGGCCTGAGAGTGTTTGTTCTTTGGTCCTTTTGGCTCAGTCTCTGATTCTCTCAACCTCTGGTCACTCAGCATCTGCCCTCTGAATACACAAGAGGAAACAGTATCCATTCTTTTCAATTATTGTAACATGCTGGTAAATGGTGAAACCAGTGGGCTTAATTACATCCAAATAGCCAGAAAAAGTATAACTTACTGCTAATGAAGGAATTAAGCTCTGGACATAGAGTGCGTACTATTGAGAAAGTCCCTTTCAACCAAGGGCACTTAACCATTTTAAATTATTTTCACATGAATGTATACTAATACTAATATTTTTAGTGCTGCAACTAAGCAGTAATGCCATTGATCCATTTGGAAATTAAACTAAAATTTTGAGTTATAAAAATCAATTTTCTCCACCTTAAATTAGTCGAGTGTACTTCAGTTAGGCATTTTCTGTATCTCACTTCATCTGCAGGTATATACTACTTCTTATTTTGTCATTTGAAGTTAAGAAAATAATTTGTCAAAGCATGCTTATTTTGTGTCAGGTATTTGTCATATACACATGATTCTATATGTGACCTTAGTATTTAAGATGAATACGGATTCTGCTCTCCATCTTGTTTATTAACTATGTTAAACGGGCCTGAAAAGATTCGGGATAATTACATATCTTAGGTTAAATCTATAGCCTCTTTCAGAGTTGGTTGTGATTTGTGGCTCTGCTTTTTTCGCTTTTAAAAACCTTATTTTCCTAAATCCAAGCCACTGCATTTTAGATAGCGACTCCATGGTAGCATGATCTCTCAGCATGTTACAGTAACTGAATATCTGTGACCTTGTCTTCTCTTACACTGATTTGTTTCCTTGGAACTAGACTAGATTCAAGCAGTTCTCACTTTGCATAGTTCTCATATACTTAAATTTCACTTATTACAGTTTCGATAGTACTAGTCTGCCAATAACATGGCTCAAACTTGAGTTACCACATATATTAACTATGAGCTCATGTTAATTAAATGAGTTTAATACATGTAAAGTACCAGAACACTGTAAGTTAAGCGCACAGAATGTGTTAACTATTATTGTAGATATTAAGGCTAACCCAAATTCTGAGTCCTGGGAGCAAAAGGAAGGAGCGAGAAGAGATTTCCTTCACCCTTTCTTGGGTATAAAGAAGTTGTCTTTGGCGGCTTTCTCTTCAGGTGCTCCTTTTTCCCTTCCTAATGCCCACCTCTTTGGCCATCCAGTTCTGGTGTCCCGCCCAAGTCCCTTCATCTATGATCAGCAGCGTATCCTGTATCTCAGTCTCTTCTCTGAATGTTTACTTTGGGGCTCTGGTCTCCTGGTTTGAATACTGTCTGCTCCTGACAACTCCCCTATTTACCTCTTCCACCCTCTGTACTCATACCTCCACTGCTTACTCAACATCGGTGATAAGAGGTCTAAGAAACACTTCACATTTAATATCTCCAAAATCATTTTGACCCACAGCTTTTCCTCTCATCATGAAGGTTATTTCCTCCTTTTAGATCTTTAAGCCAAACCTTAGCCTTATCCTTGACTTCTCTCTTACTCTCCGTATCTAACCTGCCAGAAAATTATACAATCCACTTTCACGTATCTCCAGAATGAAGCCTCTTCTTACCACATCGTGGTGAGGGCCTGGAACATCTTCCACCTGAATTTCTGCAATCTCTTCATTGGTCTCTCTGCTTCACCCCTTACCCCGCTATAGACTATTCTCAGCCAAGGGTCCAGAGTGAGCCTTCCGCTCAGACCTCTCCAGTCATTCTGCATCTCACCCAGAGTCAAAGCCACAGTCCTCACAGGGCCAGCCAAACCCTGCATGGCCTGGTCTCTGCAGTGTCTGCCTTCGTTTCATGCTCTTTTCTCCTCCCTCCCTCTAACACACCAGGCACCCTCCTGCCCACGGTCTACTCTGTAACTGTTTATTTACAATCTGCTGTCTGCATAGGTTCTGAATTAGGTTCTCTAAGGGGTACAAAGAATAAAAGGAACATGGTCTCTTCTCAGTAACAGCTAAAACAGCTAACACTTCTATAGCACTTCTTACAATGCCTGACACTCTTCTAAGTGCTGTCACTTGTTTGATCCTCAGCCCTATGAGATAGCTCCTCCCATCATCCCCAGATTGTGGATGGTGTGACTAAGGAATAGAGAAAGGTGAGGTAACTTACCACGATTTCGCAGTAGGTGGTGAGCCACTTATTCAAATATAGGCTGTCTGCCTTCAGAATCTGTATACTTAATTAACCTTGGTGCTCTTGAGTATTTATTCCAGGACCTTCGATAAGTGCCCATCGTGTCAAGCATGTGATTTTTGCACTGGCTAGAAGGCTCAATAAAAAAGCATCCCGCCATTAGTAGTTATCTAATATCACTCTCTAGCTAAGTGACTCAACTCTTAACACAAGTCTCCCTAAGGTGCATTCATATTTGCACCTCGGTATTATCACAAATCACTGTGTGTTCTTTGGTTATATATGAGTAGTCCACGCCGTGAATGTTGAATGCCAAGGGTCTGCCACACCATGAAGCTGAATATCTTTTTTTTTTTTAATTTTTTTTTATATATTTTTTTATTGATTTTTTACAGAGAGGAAAGGAGAGAGATAGAGAGTCAGAAACATCGATGAGAGAGAAACATCGATCAGCTGCCTCCTGCACATCTCCTACTGGGGATGTGCCCGAAACCTAGGTACATGCCCTTGACCGGAATCGAACCCGGGACCTTTCAGTCCGCAGGCCGACGCTCTATTCACTGAGCCAAACCAGTTTCGGCAAAGCTGAATATCTTAATGGTAACTTCAGTGCTTTGGGATTTACTTATCATAAAGCATTATCGTTCAGGTTCGGTGATATAGTAAATAAACTTGTCAAAGGGTAGAATATCTTTTTATTTTAGGGCCTCAGCTCATATTCACAGAAAATGCTGGAGAACACTATTGCCCTTATATACCATTATCTTGATTTACAACTTGTAATAAACTGTTTTAAAAAAGATTTGTTAGATACAACTGATTTGATGAGGTTTCAAATTCCTTGGGACATTACCTAAGCTTTCAGATTGACATTACAGTTGTTTTTAATTTTTTTTTTTTTTTGAGAAATCCATGTGTTTGTATAAAAACCATCTCTTTTCCAGGAAAACATACTAAGAGAATCACATGTGGATGTTGGAGTACAGAAAATCTGCTTGCTTTAGGTGGCGAAGATAAACTTATCACAGTTAGTAATCAGGAAGGTGACACAATAAAACAGGTAATACTGTAACATCTCTTTGGTCTGATATATTCAAGTTCTTACCTAAAATAATGTTTGTCTATCAAACTAATCTATAAAATGTTTAAATCTCTATATGAGATATGCATAGAGTAACTTCATATTCTTAACATCAGAAACTTTTGTTTTTACGTATTAGGACTTTTTTTTAACATGACTACTTCATCCAGATATCCTCCTTTGTATGTTTCCGTTGTTTAGTATTAGCATGGGAGGTCAGCTCTGTGGTTAGTAGGACAGTATATTTGTGAAATAACTTTTATAAATGTATACTTATAATATAATTGTTCATAGTTAGACCTCAGAGTCCTGCTAAACCTTGTTTTAGTGGATACCATAAGATATTTAGCAATGTGTGTCTTTCAACCCAAGCAAAATAGAATGGACAAAGATGAGAGGAAAAACTTACAGATTGTTTATGGCTTGTTCAAAATTGACTTGGTTGAAGGTATAGACTTAGATTGAAAATTTACAGAAAATAAATTTGAAGAAGTTGAATCCCATATCTGGAAAGTTTTGAAAGTTAGACTGAAGTAAGTAACTCAACCATGTTGGGCAGAACCATAGTATGATTCAGGTGGTTCTGATAATTCTTCTTTCAGCTAACTAGAATAGTAGGTACATAGTACAAATGCTTGAGCTCCCCATCCTGATATTCATGTTAGACATCATCAGTAGACTCTGGCTTCCCCACTCCTCACTGAATCAAAACATGGCCTTACAATATTTTTCCATAGAACATCCCAGGAAGACACTACCAGTTAGCTGTTATCCTATATTATAAAAGCCTAATATGCTAAGTGTCTGGTCGTCCAGTTGTCCATTCAACCAGTCAAAGCATAACATGCTAATGATATGCTAAGGCCACTCAACCACTAGCTATGACATGCACTGACCACCAGGGGGCAGACAGTCAACCGGTCGACCAGTCACTTGCTGCTGGGGTCCCGCCATTTGGGCCAGCGGGGACTGAGAGAGACGGGCTGGACACGCCCTGGAGCCTTCCTGTGGTCCCTTCCCGGCTGACCAACCTCCTACGTCTCTCCCTGGCTCCGATCACGCACCCGTGGGGTCCCTCAGCCTGACCTGTGCCCTCTCACAATCCAGGACCCCTTGGGGGATGTTGGAGAGCCGGTTTCAGCCCCATCCCACAGGCCAGGCAGAGGGACACCCCCGGTGCACGAATTTGTGCACTGGCTGGGCCTCTAGTTTACATATAAGATGATAACTTCCCATTTCTAATTGCTAAAAAGTATGCTTCCAGAATTAGACATACTACTTAAGTTGTCCTGTGGTAAGCAAAACATACATCAAAGGCATTGCTTTATTTGGTATGGTTTCTGAATGGTTTTGACTTTTGACTATTCTGCAGATCACTCCAGGTCTGTGTGGATTTATTTTTATTTATCCTGCTGAGTACTGTCTTGCTTCCTGGATCTGAAGATTGCTGTCTTTCATCAACTCTGGAAGATTCTTAGTCATTATCATTATCTCTCTGAACATTACCTCTTGCCTTTTCTGTTCTGTCCTTCTGGAGTGTCTGTTAGACGTATGTTGGACCTTCTCATATCTCTTAATTTTGCTTTTATAGTCCCTTTTGTCATTCTGTGTAATCTGGATAATACTTCAAATCAGCTTACTTATTATTTCTTCAAATTTGTTTGATCTCTGTCTATCCCACTGAGTTTTTATTTAAATGACTATCCTTTTTATTTTTGGAAAGTACTTTGTGGTTCTTGTAAAAATCTGTCGATTTTTTTTAAAGTTTTTTTCTCATACTTATGTCTTTTAGTCTTTAGTTAATCTTAAAGTATTTATTTTATGATCTCTCTCTCTGATAATTCTATTATTTTTAGATATGCTTACTCTTGCTCTTAATTGTTTCTTTGTGAATAGTATATCTTTCCTCATTTTGAATTGTGAGCTCATATTCTCAGTGATTTTCTGTGGAAAAGTTTTGCAGCATTGCAAGAGGCTTCAGATTAGTTTTTGCCGTAACACTGCAGAGAGTTTCTAGACCACTCAAGTATAAATTTGAATCTCAGACCAGAATGAGGATAGGAGGTAAAGTCTTTGGTTAGAATAGGACTTTTTCAACTTTTTTTCTAACCCAAAGCACAGCCCAAGTCAAATGCACTTCCTTATTGTCTCCTTGTACCAGCTGCTCTGGTGGCTGCAGCCTCGGTTTCTACACACACTTTGGTTTTCAGTTGCTCTTTACTTACGGTCCTTGGAAATTTTCTTTACCTTCTTTCAGGCTTCTCTATACATTTAATGAGATAGCTATTTTATCTAGGATTTGTAGATGTTTGTAGCAGTGGGAATTTAAGGTTATCAGTCCAACATATAACAGAAATTAAAGCAAGGTACCTGTTTTATTATCATTCAGAGTGACTTTGAGTGTTGGGTTCATTTTTAGTGATAATATTTTCATCCCCGCAGTCACCATTGAAATCAGAGCCTGGCAACATGCAGTTTTCCACGAGGAGCGATGATCGAACCTCTACTGCTAAAACCATAGTAAGAATTCTAAACCAAATGCATGCCCAAATTTTGCTAGTAATTTTGTAGAATATACTCTCTCCTTTTCTAGGATGGCTCAGAACCTATCATGATAAATAAATTATGGTCTGTCACATATGAAACCAATGGCAGGCCCCGGTCTCCCAGGCCTAAAAGTTGTTTTTCTGCTGCTGACTACCTCGCATTACAGCAAATGAAGCCATCTTCCTATTACTGTTGGTATGGTAACAAAAAAAAAGTGGGGGTACTTTTATAAATAGATGTATTGATTTCTATATGATTTTTTATTTTTGCTACCAGATGTGACCAGAGCTCTGGAAATTGTAGTTGCTTTTTTTTAATATCTTAGATTTATTTTCCTGTAACATTTTTTTAAAATAAATCTTTATTGAGCAGGACTGGGGGTGGGGGGGAGAGAAGCAGGGGGTGGGTGCATTCCTCCATTCCTACCTGTGGCGTCATGGAGACCTGGGCAACCACACTCACACCCAAGAAAAAAAAATAAAAATAAAAAAATAAATAAATAAATAAATAAAATAAATCTTTATTGTTCAGATTATTATAGTTGTTCCCCTTTTTTCCCCCCATAGCCCCCCTCCACCCAGTTCCCACCCCACCCTCTGCCCTTGAATCCAGTCTCAGGATTCAAGGCAGCACTGTCCTCATCCATAGGTGTACGCTTTTTGTCGCCGGGTCAAAGGTCATACACATGGAAAATGTAGCTATTTCCATCCGCAACATGTTCCTGTGCTCGGAAAGGTCTCTCACGACTTGTTCACACTCTACTCAGAAAGGGTGCGGAGCCACATAACGGCTTTTTAAAATACAGTGGGGCCTTGACTTACAAGTGTCCCGACTAACGAGTTTTTCGAGATACGAGCCGTCTCTCAGCCGATTTTTTGCTTTGAGTTGCGAGCTAAAATTCGGGTTACGAGCCAGCTTCAGATACCCCACCACTAGTTGGGGCAGCGAACGTCACAGTGAACGCCACAACATCAGCCCAGCATCATGTGTCTCACTCGTTCACTTTAAGATTTGACAAACGAGTATTTTGAGTTACGAGCTCCGTCACAGAACGAATTAAACTCTTAAGTCAAGGCCCCACTGTAATGTATCCTCTTATGTTTAAAATGCGGATTTCGCTACCAAAACTGGGGAGAAAGCAACACTACAGCTGCTCTCGCCCCTCTCGCCCTTCAGGTGATAGTTGTGCGTGGGGCTGCGAGCTGGTTCTCGGGCCGACGACGAAGCCGTCTGTGCGGCTCGCATGGTTCCGCCGGCTTCCCAGGAGCCGTCGCAGCCTCGCAGGGGCCGTCGCAGCCTTCCTGTAACATTTTAATATCCTGAAATCTAGACAGTTTTTACAATCAATATGTCTATATTTAAATGAAATAATGTTTCTGTTTCTTTAAAAGCTATTATTAAATTGGTAGTGACTTATAATTGATTACATTGTAGAATCAAAAAAATATATAAAAATGTGTCTCTCGTTTTATATATATACATATATATTTGTATATATGTTAATCACCCTTAATGAGCCCAATTAAATAATATACTCTTTACCTGCCCAGCACAATTACACCCTCCACTGAGAATTGCAGTTAAGTACGGACTTCTGTAACAGAGGGACACTAGTCTAGCCACATTGACCAGTGACCTACAGGCAATGGAAAGAGTGATGGTAGCAAAAGCCAATCTAGAATATTCACATGGGTGTGGACCTGTCATTCCAGATGACTCAAAATAAGAATGACATTTTATGATGGAAGATTCTATATTCCGAATATGAATTCCATTTCAATGGAACTATATCAGACTTACGCTCCTGTATTGCATGGTATTCTAATGAGAGGTATAGAGAATTTTAAAAATTACTCTAACTAGCTATTTATTATACTTCAAAGGGTATATTAGATATGTATAAAGCCAAGGATTCTTCCTGGACTATATATTAGTAAAATTTATTTTTTTAGTTACATTGTTCACTTACTAATTACAATATTTAACACATCTAAATTTGGCTTGTTTTCATAAATTACATTCATCTGTTTGAATTTGCTTATTGGTCTTTTCATGAAGTACTGAGTAATTCATTTCACAATCTCTTAATCTTCTCTGGCAGATAAGTGCGGTGCTTGGCAAGAAAACTTTGTTTCTTTTTAATTTGAATGAACCATATAACTCAATTGATCTGGAATTTAAGCAGAACTATGGCAACATTGTCTGCTATAGTTGGTAGGTACAGAAAGTTCATCATAGAAATTTATGTTTTTGTCTATTATATTTAAATTTTGGTTATATAAATTTCACTTCTTAATATAACATTTTCTAGATTACAGACTATGACTTAGTATGTGAAACTACCTAGCATATATTATCTGGCACATAGGCCTTTGATAAATTATATTCTCTAATTCCTTTGTTTTAAGGTACTTGCTTTTGCATTGTATTTTCAATGATAGTTAATCTCCCTTTTTATTGATTTATTGCCTTTGTTGCTATAGGTATGGTGATGGCTACATCATGGTTGGTTTTTCATATGGAATTTTTGTGGTCATTTCCACTCATATTCAAGAGATTGGTCTAGAGATATTTCAAGCTTATGATTATAAAGATAATCTAACCAGTATTGCAATATCACAGACCCTTAACAAAGTTGCTACATGTGGTGATAACTGGTAAGTTATATTTACAAGTTCCCAAGAAAGCTTATATAGGAAATATTCAAGAGATTCAGCAAGACTTTGGTAGCCAAAATGAATCTGTCAACCATACTATTTTTCACTCTTAGGACATGTTTGCAATGGAAATTTCTAAGACTCCTTTACCTCTATCTTTAGCACTCACAGCAAAACCTAAAATACTAAGTATATACTAAATATAAAACCTAAAATGGAGTATGCTTGAAAATCAGTCTTAAAAATAAAATAGGAAGTTCTAGCTAACATGGAATAAGCTCCACCCCATCTCTCTCAATGAATACGGCTATAAAACCTCAACAGAATGCAGAGAACAGCTATTTAAGGACTCTGAAAGTAAATAGTAGCAGGCAGATTGGCGAAGAATACCAGAATTTGAAGTACAGCTGAACCAGTGATGAGTCTCCCGTTGGTCTCCCAGTCTCAGGATTCAAGGCAGCCTGAAACTCAGAAGTAGGCACAGAGCATGGGCAGAGGAGCTCTGAGAGAAGCTCTCTCGTGCTGGCTCAAGTTGCAGGAAAGAGAACTCCTAACACTCAGAGAGAGGTGGGGAAACCCCCCAGTTTTCTTTCTTGTTCTTTGTTTTCTCATGCCCAGCAATCAAGCACTCTCACCATGGCAGTGGCAGCAACTGAGAGGGTAACCTTCCTCTCCAATTGGGGGAGCTATGGTGCCAAGAAGGTGGGGCAAACCCATGTTGCTTATTTTTCTTTCTGTCCTCCCCTTGCTTGGCCACAGGTGCAGGTGCAGTTGTGGGAAATACAAGGCAGAATATGGTAACTAGAGCCCCAGCTTCCAGCTGGAGGACCAAAAAGGGGAGCCTTCATGAAGCTGGAAAAATACCAGGTAGATCCCGGAGAGGGAGGAGTTCTGGAAAATAACCCTATAAAGATATTTATGAACTCCCAGATTTACCCTGAGCAGTGTATATATATCTGACCCTAAATATACCAAAGACTTTGAGAACTGAACTAAGGGATAGATCATAGCCCAAGTCCTATAGTGGCCACTGAATGGGCAATATAGGGACATATCCAAATACCACTGCAAAGGCTTTGAAAATGGAACCGACATTGAAACCATAACCCAGAAGGCTTATTTAAACTTGGGGCCTTACCCCATTTTGGTTGATTGCCTGCTTTAAAAAAAAAAAAAAGGTGGGTGGGGTGGTTAACCCTCTCCATGGGATTTAAACAATCATAGAATCTCATAGCATAATATTCAAAATGTCCAGAATATAACCACAATTATTTGACATAATGAAGAATCAGGAAAATTTCAACTCACTTGTGAAAAGGCAATCAAAAGAAGCCAGGGCCAAGAGGATGAAGATAACAGCTATTATAAAAATGTCTTAAGAGGTAAGGGCTAGCATTTGCAAAACAAATGGAAACAGTTTCAGAAAAGAAATAGAACCTATAAAGAAGACCCGCCCTGACCGGTTTGGCTCAGTGGAGAGAGCGTTGGCCTGTGGACTGAAGGGTCCTCAGTTTGATTCCGGTCAAGGGCATGTACCTTGGTTGCGGGCACATCCCCAGTTAGGGGTGTGCAGGAGGTAGCTGATCGATGTTTCTCTCTCATCCATGTTTCTAACTCTCTAACCCTCTCCCTTCCTCTCTGAAAAAAAATCAATAAAATATTTAAGAAAAAGAAGACCCAAATGGAAAGTTAAGAACTGAAAGATATAATTAATGCAGTGTACTTAAAAGGAGATGGAAATCACAGAGTAAAGAGTCAGTGAACTCGAGGATAGACCAATAGAAATATCTAATCTCAACACAGAGGAAAAATAGATTGAAAAAAGAACCGAGCTCAGAGACCTGTGAAATAGTACCAAAAGGTCTAACATTTGTGCCATAAAAGTCTTAGAAATAATGGCTGAAAATTTCTCTATTTCACAAAAGACATAAACCTATGTATTATAGAAGCTCAGCAAATCCCCAAAAGGATAAATCCAAAGAAATCTAGTCCCAGATACATCATAAACAAACTGCTAAAAACCAAGATGAAGAAAAAAATCTTGAAAGCTGCCAGTGAACAACATTTTGAATGACGGTGGATTTTTCATCATAAACCATAGATGACAGAAGGAAGCATCACAACATTATTAAAGTGCCGAAAGAAAAGAACTATCAACTGAAATTCTATATCCAGTGAAAATATCCATCAGTAGGAAAGGAGAAATAAAAACATTCTCAGATGGCCCTAGCTGGTTTGGCTCAGTGGATAGAGCATCGGCCTGAGGACTGGAGGGTCCCAGGCACATGCTCGGGTTGCGAGCTCAATTCCCCAGTAGGGACGTGCAGGAGGTGGCCAATCAATGATTCTCTCTCATCATTGATGTTTCTATCTCTCTTCTCCCTTCCTCTCTCTGAAATCAATAAAAAAAAATTTTTTTAAAAGAATTGCTTAAGAAGTTCTTCAGGTAGGAGAGAACAGATGACTGAAGGAAATTTGGGACATCAAGAATGAAGGAAGAGCAATAGAAATAGTAAATAGCTGGGTAGATATAATGGGCTATTTTTAAATTTTGAAATCTTGAATGTATATGTGGCTACAAAAAGCAAGTATTACAATATTGTCTGATCGTGTGTTCATTGCATGAAGATGCAATACATATGACAACTACAATATAAAGGTGAAAAGTAAGTTCTTATATGTGGTAAGATTTCTGCATTCTGCTTGAAGTGGTCTAAATGTTGATTATAAATAGACTATAATGAACATGCATAGCTTGTAATTGTTCATGAACAAAAACCATTTAACTTAGAGCTTGTGTTTAAATTTTTTTATTTTTCAGCATTAAAATCCATGGCTTGGCTGAATTAAAAGACATGTATGCTATAATCAACCTGGATGATGAAATTAAAGGTATTAATTCTTCTGAAGCAGATTGACATTTTATCATTACAGTTATAGTGTATTGTGTTTGTTTTTGTAAGAGGAATACAATTAGCACCCTTTCATTAGAGTTCCCTAAAATAGCCTCCTTATTTTAGTAATTACTTTGAGTCATACTCCTTTACTGGAATGATATAAGTCCACTTTGATCCAAAGATTTATAGTGCATTTTATCCCAATTCCAATTGTAAAATCTAAATTATTATATATTTTCCCTTTAAGCCAGTATTGAATGAGTTAGTGCTCGTGTTCGTATGTCAATCCACACGTCTAAATAAAGACCTTAAACTTTTAAAGAAAACATTTGGAGATTTTTATGCCTCTGGAAGCTTAAGTGATCATATTTGCTTTTATGCCTGCAACAGTATATTTGTTTTTTAATAATTCTTTGTTTTATCAATTATTTCAGGGTTGAGTACCTTGTCCTGGACTGATGATGGCCAGTTGCTGGCGTTGTCTACCCAAAGGGGCTCACTCCATGTTTTCCTGACCAAGCTTCCCATACTTGGGGATGCCTGCAGCACAAGGATTGCATATCTCACCTCCCTCCTTGAAGTCACTGTAGCCAACCCTGTTGAAGGAGTATGAAAATGCTGTTATTTTTATTTTATAAATAAAATCAAAGCAGTTATAGCAGCTCATTTACTAGTTACTTTTCTATATTATAGGAGCTACCGATCGCAGTTTCTGTTGATGTGGAACCCAACTTTGTAGCAGTAGGACTTTATCATCTGGCTGTGGGAATGAATAATCGAGCTTGGTTTTATGTCCTTGGAGAGAATGGCAAGTCTAAATCCAGTTGTTTTCTTGTCTGCCATATAGTTTCTGATCTGATTTGGAAAGTATTTGTTATCAAACTCTGGGTCATGTGCCCTACACTTCGAAAGGCCAAAATCAAAATGTCAGTTTGGTGTAAGGAATGATTTATTGATCGAGAAGGTGCCAATCAAGAAGATGGGAGACTTATCAATGCCTCAACTCTATCTTACCTGCTGGACTAGGTTAAAGATTTTTAAGCTGGAGAAGGGGAGTTGGAGAGGCAGGGTGGGCGGGAGGGGGGGGGTAGAGTTAAGGATAGATCTGCTGGTCTCTTGATAAGGTCTCCGAGTAGATTCTGAGGCACTATCAGAAGGTCACATGCATCAGGGGTGGTCTTGTTTTTTGCAAAGTGAGCTTATAAATTATTGTCCTGTGACCATTACTTTCTATGAAGCATCATATACATTGAATTGAGATGTTATCTATAGTTTTCCCAAAATGTTGTTTGACCCAGGAACCATGGCAGTCTCCCTGAGTCCCACAGTCTAAACCCGTGGTCGGCAAACTGTGGCTCACGAGCCACATGCGGCTCTTTGGCCCCTTGAGTGTGGCTCTTCCTAAGCCTTAGGAGTACCCTAACTAAGTTAATAACAATGTACCTACCTATATAGTTTAAGTTTAAAAAATTTGGCTCCCAAAAGAAATTTCAATCGTACTGTTGATATTTAGCTCTGTTGACTAATGAGTTTGCCAACCACCGGTCTAAACCTTAAGCATCCTATGACTACAAGGGAACTGATATATTAACATAGCTTTGTTGGTTAATATAGCTTTGTTAAGGGAAAAGCAGAAGATCTAACTTGTGGAGATGAGCAGACGGCCTGGTGTGTGGGGTACAATTACGCATCAAAAGTTTCCTTAAAGCCCTGACCGGTTTGGCTCAGTGGATAGAGCGTCAGCCTGCGGACTGAAGGGTCCCAGGTTCTATTCTGGTTGCGGGCACATCCCCAGTAGGGGGTGTGCAGGAGGCAGCTGATCGATGTTTCTCTCTCATCGATGTTTCTAACTCTCTATCCCTCTCCCTTCCTGTCTGTAAAAAATAAATAAAATTAAAAAAAAGTTTCCTTAAAGATCAAGTTTTTCCTTTTTCTTTTTCTAAAGACATCTGTTTCTTAGTTTGAAAGGTTTTGTGAATCCTCTAAAAATTTTGCATAATTTTGGGAAAGGTTTTACTCTTTACCTTTATAGTGAAGATAGCATGGTATAAGGGATAGAGTATGACCTTTAGAATTAGGTTCTGGATTTAAATTCCCCTTCTGCCTCTTTTAACTAAATGACTGCAGACAAAGTTCTTGACCCCTCTGAGCCTTGAGTTACTCATCTGGAGAATGAGAATTCCTCTCCTTATAAGGGGTCATGTGGAAAATTAAATAAAAAGTGTATCCTAGCCAGTTTGGCTCAGTGGATAGAGCCTCTGCCCACGTTCTGAAGGGTTGCGGGTTTGATTCTGGTCAAGGGCACGTAGGCTTGATCTCCGGCCTTGTCTGGGAGTGCAGGAGGCAACTGATCATATGTCTCTCACATTGATGTTTCTCTCTCTCTCTCCCTCCCTCCCTCCCTCCTTCCTTCCACTCTCTCTAAAAATCAATGGGAAAAATATCCTCAGATGAGGATTCACAATAAATAAGTGGTATCTACCTTTGCACAATGACTTTCTTAAGTACTCCTTGCTCTGGTAGGTACTTAACAAAAGCTGGTTTCCTCCCTGATTTTATTGTTTGGATAATGACCATTAGCATCTGAAGGGAGCCTTGCTTTCCCCCTCCTTCTTTCCCCTCCTTCTTTCCCCACCCTATCCAGTCCCTTCCCTCACTGAAGGTCAGATATCCTTCAGCAATAGAGCAAGCCTGAGAATTATTCTCAGATAGATGACACCATTAAGCTTATTGTCAGTAAGGTTTAATACTGTTTTGCATGTGATTTTATTTTTGATTACTGTTTCATGGGAACTATTATAGAATTCTGGAAGGCAAATTTATATGGCAACTATTTCCTTTAGCATGGCTAAAATAAAAATTTTAGGTTCAGAATATCCTTGCAAAGGTTAACATTATTTGCAAATCTTTATATAATTTTATTCATATTTTAATGTGTTTGTTTTAATTGCTACAGGTGTGAAAAAATTGAAAGATGTGGAGTATCTGGGGACAGTAGCCAGTGTTTGCCTTCATTCAGACTATGCTGCTGCTCTTTTTGAAGGCAAAGTCCAGTTACACTTGGTAAGTATAATTTTGAGGTCCTGGAGGCCTGCTCAGTTAACTTAGTGTCTTATTAAAAACTTCGGTCAGGAAGCAACCTTGTACAGACTAGCTAGAAAGCCAGGTGTGGATAAAGGATTAACAAAAACCTTTACCCTTCTGCAGGAGATGTTCAATTAGTTTTCTAGCTCTGGCAAGAAACCCGGCAGTTTATCAACTGTGCTACTTCCAACAGTGCTTATGGTAAAAATGGCCCTGTTGGTAACTGTATGGAGAAACCATAAATGAACTATAAAAGCTGATGGGAATGCCACACATCTGGGCCTCCTGGAGTGCACTGCCTCGTATATTTAGGCACATTGCTTGTGGGGGTCCTTGAAACTAGGCCTCTTGAGTTGTCCAAGAGATACTGGCCCTGGAATATGGGGCTTCCAAACCAGGGCATCTGCCACATCTGTTCTTGGCTCTTTGCTTCTGGGAAGCCAGGGATTAGCCACCAGACAACTTCAGAGCCTGTGTTCCCGCTAAAGAGGGGTGTCTAATGCTGCCCTGCTCGTAAGCCGTGCTTCCTGCCTGACGCCTTTGAGTAAACTGGCCTATGCAGTCTGCTGAGTCTGAATGTTTAACTGAACCTAAGGAAAAGATCCTCCCCTACGAGCCACTGCTATTCTTTGTTTTAGATAGAAAGTGAACTCTTGGATACTCAAGAAGAGCGTGAGACTCGACTCTTCCCAGCAGTGGATGATAAGTGCCGGATCTTATGTCATGCCTTAACTGGTGATTTCCTCATCTACGGCACGGATGTACGTATTGTCTTCTTTAATATAGAACACAGGGCAATTTCTAGTTTTTACTTTGTAATATAATATGCTTATCATATATATGTATATAAATATAGGATGTCCCAAAAAATGTATACACACACTTTCTTTTTTAATGTATTTTTATTGATTTCAGAGAGGAAGGGAGAGGGAGAGATAGAAACATCAATGATGAGCTGATTGATCAGCTGCCTCCTGCAAGCCCCCTACTGGGGATCGAGCCGCATGTGCCCTTGACCAGAATTGAACCAGGAACCCTTCAGTCCGCAGGCTGACACTATCCACTCAGCCAAACCAGCGAGGGCTATACACACACTTTGAATAATTATAAAGGTAGTGTTTATTAAAATACATTTTATTTTCACAATTGAGTTATCAGCTGTTAAAGTACATACACGTATTTTTGGGACACCCTGTATATATTATATAATATATAAAAATACATAACTACTATAATATAGACATAAATAAGTATATGTAGAGCACAGAGGTGGCATGATTTGCTAGTATTGAGTGCTTTTGTGACTATAAGCAATTTTGACAGCACAGTGAAAAGGGAAAACTATGGAGTGTAGAAAATCTGGATGTAAACATCAGTTCTTTCACTTGCTGCTGTTTAACCCCTCCAAGCCTCATTTCCTTATCTAGGTGCTTTAAGGACTTAATTTAATGACAAATATAAGACACTTCATTCAACTTTAGATTTCCAGTGCGTACATTTAGAAGGCACTTACTAAATATTAAAATTAATGAAATATTGAGAATCTCACTTCAGTCTTTTGGTCCTTTGAACCACCAATACCCTATACCTCTAAGTATTACGTTAGCCACATGAACATAAAGCATAGTTACAGTAATAGCATCTAATATTTGTCAAAACGTTTTCAAAGATTTTTCAAAGCATTTCATACCTGTTATCTTGTTCAGTCTCTACATTCAGTAAAGTTGGTAGAAAGGTATTGTTTTCCACATGAGAAGAACAATTATTCACTGTTTCTATTTTCTCTCATTAAATTGTTTATTAAAAAGAGCAGGTCTTAAAGCATGCTTATTGCCATAGAGAGACTTTATAAGTTGAAAAGAATCAGTCTTTGTGCTAATTTACATCAGTAGGGTAGGTCTCATGTATCAGGTGAAGTAGTGAGTGATGTGGTAAATAACATTAAATACAATACATTTGCATGACACCTAACATTATAAAGCCTGATCTCACTCACCTCATTAACTATATAAAATAAGCAGGGACGTTTTAGAGATGAGGACACTGAAGACTGAGAGGTCACTAGGTTTGTGACAGAGGTGGAACTTGGACAAGCAAGATTTCCTGATGGAAAATGTACTCTTTCCACTATGCCACAGGCACTTGAAGTAAGAACTCAAAGTGTAGTCGCCTGTCAGTAAGGCAGTACTTATCTGTCTCTCTTTTTTTTTTGTAACTGAAGTATAATTGACATATAACATTATATTAGTTTCATATGCACAACATAATGATTTGATATTCATATATATTACAAAATGATCTCCACAGTAAGTCTAGTTAACATCCGTCACCATACATAGTTACAAAATTTTTGTAACGTTGCAAATATTGTAAACTACACAAGTTAAAGTTAAGTTTTGACATATGTATACACCTGTGAAACACTATCAACTCAATCAGTATAATGGACATATTTATCACCTTTAAAAGTTTTCTCAATCCCTCCTTCCCAGCCCTCCCCACTTAGTGCTTTGTCACGATAAATCAGTCTGTATTTTCTAGAGCTTTATGTAAATGGAATCCCATAGTAGGTACTCCTTCTTGTCTGGCTTTAGTATAATTATTTTGAGATCATCCATTTTGGTGTTTGTGTCAATAGTTCCATCCTTTTTCTTGCTGAGTAATAGTACATAGTCAGCATATATCATAATTCGCTCATCCATGAACCTATGGATGGATATTGATGTTTCCTGTTTGGGGTATTTACAATAAAGCTGCTGTAATTATTTGTGTTCAAGCCTGTGTATGGACATATGCTTTCTTTTATCTTAGATAAAAACACCTAGAAGTGGAATGGCTACATCATATGGCATGTGTATGTTTAACCTTTTGAGAAATTGACAAACCGTTTTCTAACTTGGTTGTACCATTTTATACTCCCATCATCAGTATATATGTGTTCCAGTTCCTCTCCATCAGGGGTGGGGGACCTTTTTTCTGCCAAGATCCATTTGGATATTTATAGCATCATTTGAGGGCCATACAAAATTATCAACTTAAAAATTAGCCTGCTATATTTGGTCACTTAATGAACTCACCCCTCATGCCTTGGCAGGACCAGACCAAATTATTTCGTGGGTCTTATGTAACCCGAGGGCTGGAGGTTCCTTACCCCTGCTCTACATCCTCACAAACACCTGATCTGTCACTCTTTACTTTTAGCCACTCTAATGAGTGTGCAGTGGTACTTCATTGTGATTTTAATTTGCATTTCACTAATGGACTAATGATGTAGAGGCATCTTTTCATATGCTTATTTGCTGTTTCTCTTTAGTGAAGTGTCTGTTCATATTTTTTATTATTTCTTAATTGGCTTGTTTATTTTATTACTGAGTTTTGAGAATTCTTTATACATTCTATAAAGTGGGTCACAGACCCAAATGTAAAACATAAAACTTTAAATTTTCTAGAAGAAAACAGGAGTAAAGCTTTGTAACCTTGGGTTAGGCAAAGATTTTTTAGACATAATACCAAAAGCACAATCTATAAAAGAATAAGTTGATAAATTGGACTTTGTCAAAATTCAAAACAAAACAGTGTCTTTGAAAGACACTGTTAAGAGAATGAAAAGACAATTTGTTTTATTTTCTTCTGCCTGTACATTGCAAATATTGTAAATATTCTGAGACTCTTTCTTCATCAGAAATATGACATTTTTTCTCTTCATATTAGAAGGTATGTTTAACATAAATGCTGAAAGTATTTTCTTGACTGGATTTTCTTTTTTTTTTTTCTTTTTTTTGGTAGACTGGTGTCATCCAGTATTTCTACATTGAAAACTGGCAATTCGTTAATGATTATCGACATCCTGTCAGTGTGAAAAGGATTTTCCCTGACCCCAATGGGACCACATTAGTTTTCATTGATGAAAAAAGTGATGGATTTGTCTACTGTCCAGTAAGTCTAGAAAAGTTTTGAATGCTTGTTTTTAAAATTATACAACACGTGAAGAAAAGTATTTTTTAAATATATTTTATATATAAAATCATTTTCTCGTAAGCAGAGCCAAGGATTATAGTACTTTGTTATCATGTCTGTGATACCATGTCTGTGATCCATTTCATGACTGTTCACATCAAGGAATCTTTTTCTATTATTCTGCAGTTTTTCATGTCAGTCCCAGAGAGATATTTTAGGGAAAAAATTGTTACTATATTCTGTACCACTTTTAACCTTCTTTACTGTGCAATATTATAGTGTATCAGCATGTACATGACTTTCTCTCCAGATATGCAATAAGCCCCAGAGGGCTGGGACTAGACCCTGTCCTTCCTCCACCTCAGGTGATTTTCCTCTTCCCTTAAGGTCCTGAATACCAAGGAAATGTATTTTTGTATTAGATGATTAAAAACAGACCATTTTCTGTTAACTCATATTTTTGCACATCCTTAACTTTTTTAAAAATAGATTGAGAAAAAAGAAAGTGTGTTTTTACATTACTTACTACTAGAGGCCCAGGGCACGAAATTCATGCACGGTGGAGTCCCTAGGCCTGGCTGGTGATCAGGGCCTATTAGGGCTATCTCGCCCAGTCCCAATTGGGGCCAGGCCAGGCTGGCTGTCAGACGGGGCCTGCTGGCTGCCGGACAAGGCCTGCCAGATGGGGAAAGGGACCGCGGGAGGTTTGCTGGCCAGGGGAAGGGACAGGGAGAGGTTGGCTGGCCATGGGAGATTGGCTGTGGGAGCTCACTGACCACTAGGGGGCAGCTCCTGCATTGAGCATCTGCCTCCTGGTGGTCAGTGCGTGTTATAGTGACTGGCCAACCGGTCGTAATGGTCGTAATGGTCGCTTGGGCTTTTATATATATATATATATATATATATATATATATATATATATATATATATATATATATTAGAGGCCCGGGGCACAAAAATTTGTGCACTGGCATGGGGGATGTCCCTCAGCCCCACTTGTGCCCTCTCACAGTCTGGGACCCCTCGGGAGATAACGACCTGCTGGCTTAGGCCTACTCCTGGGTGCCAGAGGGCAGGCCCAATCCCTAGGTGCCTGCCCCGCAGCCCCTGGTCGGGCTCAGAGCAGGGCCGATTGGGGAGTTGGGGCGCTGCCCCCTGTCATGCACAGAGCAGGGTGGATCGGGAGGTTGCGATGCCACCCCAGTCACGCTCAGGGTAGGGCCGATAGGGGGGTTGGGGCGCCGCCCCCTGTCACACTCAAGGCAGGGTCGATGGGGAGGTTGCGGCGCCATCCCCTGTCACGCACAAAGCAGGGTGGATCAGGGGGTTGTGGTGCCACCCCTGTCACATACAGAGCCGGCCGATCAGGGGGTTGGGGAGCTGCCCCCTGTCACGCACAGAGCAGGGCCAATCAGGGGGTTTGGGGCTCCGTACCCTGTCACACACAGAGCAGGGCCGATCAGGGGGTTGGGGAGTCCCCCCTATCACGCACAGAGCAGGGCCGATCAGGGGGTTGGGGAGCTCCCCCCTGTCACGCACAGAGCAGGGCCGATCAGAGGGTTGGCGCACTCCCCCCGTCACACTCAGGGCAGGGCCGATGGGGAGGTTGCGGCTCCACCCCATCACACACAGAGCAGGGCCCATGGGGGGGTTGGGGCACCGCACCCTGTCACACACAGAGCAGGGCCGATCAGGGGTTTGGGGAGTTCCCCCCTATCAGGCACAGAGCAGGGCCAATCAGGTGGTTGAGGCGCCTTCCCCTGTCACGAACAGAGCAGGGCGGATAGGGAGGTTGTGGCCCCGCCCCCTGTCACACACAGAGCCGCAGGGCAATCAGGGGGTTTGGGCGCTGCCCCCTGTCATGCTGCTCCAGGGGCCAGGAGGCCTCGCGGCTCCACTGATCTCAGTGCTGGGAGGCCCCTCGGCTCTGCTTGACACTGAGGCAGTGAGGCCTCGCTACTCAGCTGATCCCGGTGCTAGGAGGCCTCGCTGCTCCGCTGATCCCAGTGCCAGGAGGCCTCACGGCTCTGCTGATCCAGGCATATTACCCTTTTACTATATAGGATAGAGGCCTGGTGCACGGGTGGGGGCCGGCTGGTTTGCCCTGAACGGTGTCCTGTATTACCCTTTTACTATATAGGATAGAGGCCTGGTGCACGGGTGGGGGCCGGCTGGTTTGCCCTGAACGGTGTCCTGGATCAGGGTGGGGGTCCCACTTGGGTGCTTGGCCAGCCTGGATGAGGGGCTGAGGGCCGTTTTCAGGCTGGCGGGTGACTGAAGCTCCCAACCTCTCCTTTTTTTCTTTTTTTTTTTCATTCTGGGATTTATTCACCTTCTATGGCTGTCACTGGAACTGAGAGCCAACTTTAGCTCTGAGGCTCGGCTCCAGCTCTGAGACCTCGGCTGCTGAAAGCAGGTCTGGGTTTGTTTGGCTTCTATAATTGAAACACTGTTGCAACTCCAGCTCGGCTGGTTGGCTGAAAGCATGGGGGTTGTTTAGCTTCTATATTTGCAACATTGTTTCTTAGAGTGCAAGCTCAGAGCCCAGCAGCGGGAGGCGGGGAACCTTGGCTTCCTCCATCACTGGAGCAAGCAAGCCTCCTGTTTGCTTCAGCTGCCTGCCTGCCAGCCGCCATCTTGGTTGGCAGTTAATTTGCATATCACCCTGATTAGCCAATGGGAAGCGTGTCCCAGGTACGGTTAATTACCATGTTTGTCTATTATTAGATAGGAGATATATATATATACACTTGGAGTTTTTGTTTATTTCTTTATATCCAGCTAATGCTTTAATTTGTTCACAGTTTACATAAGCCTACAGCTGCTCTTGGCCCATCTTTAGTAGCTGTTCCCAGGCATCTGGTTTACCTTAGAGAAGACACATTCCAATGAAGACAGCTTTCCCCTCACTATGCACTTTCCTCTCTCTCTTCCCTTCCTTTCTTTCTTGCTTTCTCTTCCCTTCATTTTTTTTCTTTGACAAATATAACAGGTTACCACAGGAGTGACTGGATTATTTATGCAAAATCTCTAATATGCTGGTTCTGAATCAACCCTTTTCTCTCCTGATCACAAACCAATGAGGGAAAATGACATAAATATAAAGATAACCTTGAGTTCCCTCTATGCAATAAGGAAATCCAGTCTGGCACAGATTCCGTTTCTGTGACAGGCCTAAGGAAGCGGAGCTGCCTTGCTTCCCGCATGGGTTCGCCACAGGTGGGAACTGCTGCTGAGGGGACACAGAGGGGTCCAGGGACATCGGTGTCTGACAGGAGTTAGTCAGAACTGGGTCTGACTGCAGGGAAAGGGCAGAGAGCAAGACCTGCCTAAACACGTTGCTACATCCTTCTTTTTACACTTTCCAGTTCCTTGGTCATTTCTGTTAGAGCCCAGTATGACCTCCTTCGTAGAGTTGGACTGAGGTATCCGTGAGTTCATCTTTCCATGTTATCAGGCACAGGAGCTAGTTAGCCAGTGTTAGTTAAAGCCCTGCCCTCTTTACCACCCTTCAACCCCTCAAATCCGGAATTCTCTCTCTTATTGCTGCTCATCCCCACTCCCTTTTCCAGCTCTAACCTGCAACTCAGGTATTAAGAAAAAATAACCTTGTGGGGGAGAGGGCAATGGGGGGGGGGGGGGACATATGTAATACTTTCAACAATAAAGATTTATTTAAAAAAGAAAAACAACCTTGTCAAACAAAATCCACACAAAGAATGACTCCGTGGCCAGCCGCATGTGCTCTCCCTCCCCCAACATGTGGGTGGGTGTTTGCTTTTATTCAAATTAAGGTTTCTCTGGTAGGCTCGAATTTTAAGTGGTTGGGCAAGATACCAGAGGGGAGTGTTGTGCCCACAGGAGTAAATTCCTCTTTTAAATAATACCCAGTCTTTTTTCTCTGAGTAGGGCCAGCTTGGAAGGGAAGGGGAAGGAGGCTTGTGGGGCAGAGCCTTCCCGGCCTCTGACCCAGCAGGAGGCTGCACTAAGGCACTTGAGGCCCTTGGACTCTTGACCAGAGTGCTCCGCACTTCATTTGATTTTAACAACACCCCTCCCGCCCCCCCACCGGTCCCCCACCCCCGTCATCGTGTGCTGGTATTGCAGCCTAATTTTCTGCTGCTTTAAATAATTTGAGAGAGGCATTGCTCCTGTGATGTTCATACATGCAAATGTTCAGACAACAATTCTTTAAAATTTTTAAACTTGCAATTTTCCTTCATATGTATATTTATTCAACCTATTTTTCTTCACTATGTGGATAGTAAGGGATTCACTCATGTTGTACATTAGAATTTAGAGATTACTTTTTCTTACATACGCCCCTAGAAAACCTATATTCCCCCACAACACACACACACACAGACACACACATACTCCCTATATGCCCATGAAGGCTGGCTTGTGATCTTCTAGAAAGTTTATAAACACGTTGCCCTTCAGAGAGGCTATGTAGTAGTTAAGTGCATGGACTTTAAAGACTGACGGATAGACCTGAATTTACGATTAGTAATGATAACCAGTATGTTTGTGCTGAGTACTCTTTACATACATCAGGGGTCTCTTTCTGTCCTTATCACAGCCCAGAGATAAATACTCATATTATTGCCACTTTACAGGTGAAGAAACTAAGGCCTAGAGAAGATAACTAACTTGTCCCAACTCACACAGCCAGCAAGTGCATTGGTATGAGCCCAGAGGAGCTCCCTCCAGAGCTCTCACTCTGATTGGAGTTCCCGTTCCCCAGCTATAAATTCCGTTCTGGCACCTATGTTATAGGTGGTTTATAAAAATTAAATGTTTTTAGTACTGTGTCTGCCACATAATAAGCACTCAACAAATGGCTGCCCTTTAAAAAAGCTCTGCCACCTGTCCATTGGATGGTGTGCCCATCCTTACAAACTGCAGGTCAGTGTGCACAGTGGATAGAAGCATAGACTGGAGCCACGCTGCTCGGGTTCAAGTCCTGGCTCTTCAACTTATGAGCCTGTGACTCAGTGCACATTTCTCTGTGCCTCAGTTTCTTCATCTGCAAGTGGGCATAATAATAGGATCTGACTTCCGAACTATGAGGTTAGAATTAAATGAAGTTACATAAGTAATTAGTACAATATCTGGTAAGTAGCACTATCCAATGGAGATATAATTTTAACCACATATGTAATTTTTAATTTTTAAAGCACGTTTTTAGAAAGGTAAAAAGAAATAGGTGAAATTAATTTCAATGTTATCATTTTAGTATGTAATCAATATAAAAAATTACTGCTGTTTCACACTCTTAGTTAGATACACATGGGATCTAACTTCTTGAGATCCCACGTGTAGTTCACACTTGCACACATCTTAATTCGGATGAGACACATTTCAGTGCGCATTAGCCACATGTGGTTAGTAAGTGGTGGCTACTGTGCTGGACAGCACAGCTCTATAGTATTAGTTTTTATTTGTAAGAATTTTATATTTCATTCTTATTTTTAGAGGAAGACAGATTAGGGAGAAAGCAGGTGTTTCTCAGCTCCACATTCAGCATATGTATTAGCCTACCAGCCTGAGTTCACAGGAATAGGTGATTGCTTTTTTTTAATATATATTCTTATTGATTTCAGAGAGGAAAAGAGAGATAGAAACATCATTGATGAGAGAGAATCACTGATTGGCCGTCTCCTGCACTCTCCCTACTGGAGATTGAGCCTGCAACCCGGGCATGTGGCCTGACTGGGAATCGAACTGTCATCTACTGGTTCATAGGTTGATGCTCAACCATTGAGCCACACCAGCCGGGCTGGATTGCTTTTTTAATAGGTTATGTTACTATAGCAGTACATTTTATGTTTGTTAGAGTGCATTGTAGAGAAGTTTTTGAAGTGAAACAGATAGAGTGGAATTTATCTAAATTTTAAATCATACATGAATCAATTTCTGCTTCCTCCCTAGATGGAGCATTTCTGTGCCCAGTATTGAAAAATTTCTAAACGCAAGTGTTCATAGTTTAAGTTTCTGTCATCTTGAGCACCTTCAGCTTTTTTTTTTTTAATGTGAAGCTTTGTGTCCAGACTTGTAGTTTTGCCTGCAAATTCATCAGATTTTAGATAAAACCCTTGATTTTCCATGTAACTATAGTTTTGTTTTTTTTCAAGCCACACCTAATATTGGAACGGTTGGCGTGTTGTTGGATTGAGTGTGGGTCCATAAGCTATGCCAGCTAAGGCTACAGACAGGCTCCTGCCACTACAAATGATAATGATTTATGTATAGACTGGGGGCAAAACTTTAAATCCTATTTTGTAGGTAAATGATGCTACGTATGAGATTCCAGATTTTCCACCAACCATTAAAGGTGTACTTTGGGAAAACTGGCCATTGGATAAAGGTGTTTTTATTGCTTATGATGATGATAAGGCATACACCTATGTCTTTCACAGGAACACTATACAAGGTACTTAATCACCTTCTTGTACATTTGTTGATAAGTCAATTTCCATTGCAATGAAATGAAAACATTCCTTTCTGATGTGTGTGCTGAGTATTACCTTTCAGCATTCAGATGTCTGTTTTATAATGTAGGATCCAAGGTCATTCTGGCTGACGGCACCAAAATTCCCTTCTCTCATAAACCTTTGCTGTTGTATAATGGAGAGCTGACCTGCCAGACACAGAGTGGACAAATCAACAATGTCTACCTGGACACTCACAGCTTCCTCAACAATTTAAAAGACGTGGGGCCTAATGAGCTGAGGCAGATGCTGACACAGACCTTGGTGCTGAAAAGGTAGGGTTTCAAATACTTCTCCACGGCGCTCCCTTGCTTCGGGGATTGTAAAGGAGATGATAGCATTTACCTCGTTTCCTTCACGGGATTATCATGAAGCTCAGGTAAGATCACGGATATGAGCATGTGTAGAATTCTAAAGAAAGTCACGGTGAAATATCGGTGCTTTAGTCCCTTCGGAACAAAAACGTTTCTAATCACCGAAATAGTGCAGTTATTGTCATTTCAACAACATCTTAATTTCGTCCTAATAAAGTTTGGTTCAGCCTTGCCTGAGATTTCCTCTTACAGCTTAGGGCCACTGTGAGTCCCTCTGTGGTTCTAATGCTTCCCACCATCTCTTGCTGCTGCTGTACGTAGTAACTCCTTAGTCCTCACTGTTCAGTGGAACCCTCACCTAGTCCACGAAGCCTTCCCTGAAGCCCCCTGCCTCCCACAAAAACAAAACAAAACACTTTCTAGTGTGTTGCCTCGGAGCCAGGGTACATACAATATACATAGTGGTTTAGAGCACTTTCCCATTCACCACTGTGTGACTAGGGCTAGTGTGTTAAGGCCAAGAATCCTCACTTTCTCATCTATGAAGGAGAAGTAATAATAATACAGAGTGGATAGGGTTGTCAGAGGAACCCAGTGAGAGAATTCATACAGAGTACGTAGCACAAAGACCCCCATACTGTAAGCACTCGATTGCTTCCATTGTACTCGGTCATGCTCATCTGTCTTCCACCTTCCCCACTTATGACACCTGAAGGACAATGACCGGGTTTGATCTTTGTATCTTGGTTCCAAACACGGTTCCTGGCGTATAATAGGTACTCAGTAAATGTGTGTGAGACAGGAAAATGCAGAGGCAAATAGATGGGTAGATGTAATATATCCATTAATGTAAAGGTCCCACAAAACATTTAATTGGCATTTATGGTCATGTTTTAAACCAGAAGTCAGCCAACCCTTTCTGTTACGGGCCAAATGGTATGTATTTCACGTGTTAATGGGCCATAGGGTCTCTGTTTCTGCTCAGTTCGGCTGTTGTAGCACGAGAGCAGCTGAGACAGTCCATAATGCATGGCTGGTGTACCTGCATTCCACTCAAACTTTACCTTTTTAAAAAAATACATATTTTTATTGATTTCAGAGAGGAAGGGAGAGGGAGACAGAGATAGAAACATCAATGATGAGAATCATTGATCAGCTGCCTCATGCACGCCCCCTACTGGAGATCGAGCCCACAACCTGGGCATGTGCCCTGGCTGGGAATCAAACCCTGACCTCCTGGTTCATAGGTCGACGCTCAAACTTTACTTTCAAAAACAGGCAGTGGACTGGACAGGAATAGAGTGCTAATTTTATTAGACTTATGTGAGAACAAAACTAATTTTGATCTCTGTATGAAGTAAACCAAAAATAAATAGAATTAATTGTTAATGGGGGAAGGTGGTTACCCAGAGTAGATTTAGAGTAATAAAAGAAATTTAAGAAAAGTCATCTGTACAAAATGGAAGAAAAGTTTATGTAATTTTTCATAACTTGTAAATAATGATTACAGACTAAGAAGTTTTTACAAAACTTACCTTGTGCGTGACATGAAAGAATGTACAATCTGACAGTTGCCTGGTAGGGAGCAAAAAGACCCCCCTGACTAAGCTTCTACTCACCCCCTAGGTTCTCTGACGCGTGGGAACTCTGCACGATTCTGAATGATCACGACGCCTGGAATGAGCTGGGCAGGGAGTGCCTCCATCACATGGACGTGGAGTTCGCAATCCGCGTCTACCGGGCTGTCGGAAATGTCGGCATGGTGATGTCCTTGGAACAAATAAAGGTAAGCAGCATCTTATGAGGATCATCAGGTTAGGAGTTAAATGGTATTGGTTCATACATTTTACATTCTGTGGTGAATCCTGCCCAACTCACCAACAAGTTAATTGCTAGAACATTACCACTTCTTACTGAGCAAAGCTTTTCCTTTTGTTTTTAGTGAAACCTTATGGCCCGTCAGGGCACATACAAGTATCAAGCAAGGAACGCGTAAATAAGGGAACAACAAATCGATGTCTCTCTTCCCCCTCCCTCTCTCTCAAATCAGTAAAAACAAAACAAAAACACAAAATTTGTATTCTCATTAAAGCTGCTTTTATTTTCAGGGGATCGAGGACAACAACCTTTTGGCGGGGCATCTTGCCATGTTTACTAACGATTTCAACCTGGCTCAGGACCTGTACCTGGCGTCCAGCTGCCCCGTGGCTGCGCTGGAGGTATGGCGGCAAATGGGGGGGAAGCAGGCCACGTAAAGGGGGATCTCACCTTGGACATGGCTAACAGTCCTCGGCACCGGGCACCACAGGCCTTGCCCCTCTAGAATTCAGACTCAGCTTTAAGGACCCCTGAGTACTCATTACCTTCAAAAATACTTTCATTCTGCATTCTGCGGAGCCATAAAAGGCGTGGCATGGTAACATTACCAAATAATTCCCATCTAAATGTGCCCAAAGAGAACAGATTTTATAACTTACAAAGGCACATGCAAATAAAAACAGCCACTGTGTATTGAGTGTTCACATGTGCCAGGTATATTCCTAAGACGTACTGTTTTTCATTTAACCCGCACAGCAATCCTGTGAGATAGTACTTTTACAGGCTCTGTGGTCCAAATGGGAAAACTGGGACGCATTTATCTTTTATTTCTTGTATGGAATTCTCCTGTGCGTTAAAAGGTGGGCTAAAGAGCCCTGGGTGGTGTGTTCAGTGGTTAGAACATCAGCCGGCACACCAAAGGGTCGCAGGTTCGATCCCTGGCCCTGGCACATGTGGGAGGCAACCGATCGATGTGTCTCTCACATTGATGTTTCTCTCTCTCCCTCCCCACCCTCCCTTCCACTCTCTCTAAAAATCAATGGGAAAAACATCCTCGGGTAAAGATTAACCAAATAAAAGAAAAGGTGGGCTAAGGACTAGTGTACCATCACTAGTTTCCCAGAGATGAGCATTGCAGCAGAAGGACTAGAACAGAGTAGACTACCTAGTTCAACACCAGGAGGAAGAGAGAAGTGGCCATAGGGAACAGGGATTCAGAATGCGGATTTTAGCCCTAACCGGTTTGGCTCAGTGGATAGAGCGTCAGCCTGCGGACTGAAGGGTCCCAGGTTCAATTCCAGTCAAGGGCATGTACCTTGGTTGCGGGCACATCCCCAGTAGGGGGTGTGCAGGAGGCAGCTGATCAATGTTTCTCTCTCATCGATGTTTCTAGCTCTCTATCCCTCTATCTTCCTCTCTGTAAAAAATCAATAAAATATATATATTTTTTAAAAGGATGTGGACTTGAGCCTGGCCAGCATGGCTCAATGGTTGAGCGTCGACCTATGAACCAGGAGGACACGATTCCATTCCCAGTCAGGGCACATGCTCAGGTTTTGGGCTCAATTCCCGGTAGGGGGCGTGCAGGAGGCAGCCGATCAATGATTCTCTCTCATCGTCGATGTTTCTATCTCTCTCTCCCTCTCCCTTGCTCTCTGAAAGGAATAAAAATATATTTTAAAAGGAAAAAAGAATGTGGACTTTAGAGTCAGACATGTCTGGGCTTAAATCTCAGCTCTGTGCAACCCTGGACAAGTTATTTCATCTTTCTGTGCCCTGGATTCCGTCTGTTTAAAGTAGGGATAACAGTATCTAGCCCACTTGGTTATTGTAAAGATTTAAAAATGAGATTAGATCTATTGGAACTGTGCTGATCGATAGAAAAGACAAAGTGGTAGCTGCTGTCGTTACTGTCATTCACCTCAGATCAGCTTGTCCACAGCTACAGAGAGGAGGTATTTTGAAAACATTTGCTGCTAATTTCACAACTTAACCCTTTTTCAAATTGTTCTGTAGCAAATTTTAATTTTTAAATTTTAAGTGAACCAAATTAATTTTGTTTTAAGAAAATATTTAGATAATTTTATAATATTATTCGAGATAATTGGGGACACCCTGAGAAATTTTCAGAACTTGGATGGGTACGCACTGAAGTAGGAAACTGGTTGCTAGAAGTGAGGGCAAAGACATCACCTTAGCTCTTCCACGTTTAGCTATGGACACGTCATGAGCTAAAGATCTGTAAATCGTTGGAGGTGATTGATGGCTTCCCCGTGGAGAGGGGAGATTGCACCCTGTCATTCACTTCACCTCACTTCGGAACTGTGCCTGATCAACGGAAAAGACAAACATGGTTGACAGGTCAGCCAGGGAAAGGAAGCGAGGGGCAAAGCCCTCCTGCCCAGCTCGGCCACATGCTGACAGCCCGACTGTGTACAGAGAGGAGGTGTTCTGAAGCAGCTAGCCTCTTTTGCCTTATGGACGATTAATTGCAAAAGGCCTCGTTGTGATAAGCAAATAAGCTAATGTCCTAGAGCATTACCTGGCAGAAAATAACACTTGGGAAATGTGAGCTCTTATTAATTCTTTACAAAATGTGAATAAAGTGAGGAATGAACTCTAAAAGATTCTTGGTTAGTTATATTTGGGACTGTATACCAGACTGTGTACAGACCTCAGGAACCAGGGAGAAAGACAGATTCACATTTTATTTATGTTTGCTTTTATTCGTGTTGTGATATAGCTTTAGATTTTCTCAGAAAATAACCTCAACTCCTGTAGTAAAGTACCTCTCAACCTTTTAAGAAGGAAAATGAATAATTTAATTGGTTGGTTGGATTAATATTTATTAGTTTTGAGTACTAAAGAATAAGATTTTGTTGGGTAGAATTGAGTGTTTTGTTTTTAATTTTTATTGATTTCAGAGAGGAAGGGAGAGGGAGAGAGATAGAAACATCAATAATGAGAGAGAATCACCCAATCGCTGCCTCCTGGACATCCCCCAACTGGGGATCAAATCTACAACCTGGACATGTGCCCTTGACCAGAATCCAACCCGGGACCCTTCAGTCCACAGGCTGACACTCTATCCTCTGAGCCAAACCAGCTAGAGCTGTTTTGGATTTTTATTACTTAAAGTGTCATATTTATTTATTTTTTATTGTGATGAAAAACATATAACATTCAATTTTCTATCTTTTTTTTTCAATTACAGTTCACATTCAGTATTATTCTGTATTAGTTTCAGGTGTACATGCTGGTAATGCTTATATGTATGCATACAAGTCCTTTGGTTGATCTCTTACCCCCACCCCCCACCCCTGCCTTCCGTCTGAGGTTTGGCAGTTCAGTGCTTCTCTGTCTCTGGATCTCTTTTTGTTCATCAGTTTATGTTGTTCACTCTATAGAATTGCATTTTGGAGGGCCACAAGCCTTTATAATAATAGCTAAGATGTTTTTGCTCCCCCAAATCAATTTTTACCCCCGTGGGAGCTCTGTCACATCCATTGCGGAAATATACTATAGTAACATGTTATCTTTGCAAAGATCAAGTTTCATTTTTAAACAAAGAGTTTTGTAATCACTTTATTAAAACTAGCACTATATGGTGACTGTGCAAAATAACTTGCTCATTTGCCCCTAATAGATGAGAAGGGATTTGCAGCACTGGGACAGCGCTCTACAGCTGGCCAAGCGTTTAGCCCCGGACCAAATACCACTTATCTCCAAAGAATATGCTATTCAGCTTGAATTCACGTAAGTCCTCATCTTTATATGATTCAGTTGGTACCTAATTGCTGAATTACTGACTACTGACTATTGAAATAATTACTGAATATCTTAAGTTCTAAACTGCCATTCTTATAAGGCCCTCCGTTGATTTAATAATTTCTTTTTCAGGGGAAAAGAGATTACTGTAATTATACAAACAAAATAAATTTTTTCTAACTAATGTTGTCTTATCCATGCATTGATCCACTTTCATTTTTAGCATCAAGTTTGGGTCTTAGATAAGCCTTTTCTACATTTAGAGTCTAAACATTGTTTTGAATCACATTTGACCATCAGGGTGACATACTGCTTTTCAGAACCTAAGCTCATGATCTTGACTTCTTTGTACACTTTGAGGATTTATAGTGTAATTTCAAGGCAGAGTGAAAAATACCAGGTATTGGTCTACAACTTCTATTTGCTTTATTTTGTAGTTTTTCTTTTTTAAATTGAATTGCATATGGACAAAAATTCAACAGTTAATGTTGAAGATGAAGCCAGAAGCTCTCACGGGCTGATATTCAGTGCCTGAGTGATGTATGGACAGGTTTCACAAATCTTTCCTTCCTTTGGAAATGCCATCTTCTGTTCTGAGAGATTTAGGATTTTCCAGTGCACTTAGTCGCTAGATAGTCTTAATTATCAATAGTCTTAGTTGACAGACTATAGATTTTTATTTCAATGCTGCATAAATGTGTAATTTTAGAAGCATTCAAGATCCACTTGTAATTCACATTCAGTCGTGCTTAATGCTACTAATGCAAATACCCGCAGAGGCAATAAATGAATAATTCATTTGCAAATATAAGTTCCCATGTGTATGTGCAGTGTTAATTACATCACAACTGGACAATTTTTCTGACTTTTTTAAAA